TAGAAGTCAGTACGAACTCTGAAAGTCACGAGTCTCCCACACGAGCCGCCCTTCCCCACACCAGCCTCATGGGAAGATAGATTCCCCCCAGCGCCAGCCACATTTGCATGCCGTCGGAATCTTTCCGCCTTCAGCGACAATAATTAGTTTTTCATGCTTTCGTTGACATTCTCACTTTATTATCATTAGAGGTGTTAACAGGCAGAGACACGCCGACAAAAAGGCGGGCTTTCCGGGGGAAAACGGTACTTCTGTAATTATGTTAATGAGGAGACGGTGGTGGAGGGGGATCTCAGAGCAACCCGCTTGCTACAGTCGGGGCGTTCGGCCTCGGCCAATAAGAAGGAAGGATTTAGGAATTTTGCTTCGGGCCGTTTCGCCTTTATCCTCCCTTCAGTAAGTTCCAGGTCTTTAGTTTTGCACCCTGGGTAAAGGGGAGACCAACCGATCTTCTCACTCCGGCATGAAACAGTTTTTCTTCCAACCCGCAACCCCTCACCCCCAAAACACCGCGCGCGCGCATGCGCTCTCAAGTCGTCAACAAATAGCGAAAACCCCCTCCGCCAACGACGTTAGCCTCCTGTGCAGGCCTCCGGGAGGTGGAAGTTTTGATACTGCGTTTTGTAGAATTTTTAACGCGTTCTTTTGCCGGCCATCCTGCAACCAGCCGCCCGGAGAAGGTTTGTACTCGCCACGGGATGGCCAGCAAAAGAACGCGTTAAAAATTCTACTAAACGCAGTATCAAAACTCCCACCCGCCCGGAGGCCTGCACAGGAGGCTACAACGACATGCGCAGAGGAAACGCGGCGCATAAAATATACAGTCCCATCTGGTGATCACAAAGCATTCAGCACATAATTAAAAGCGGTCAGGAGAACGGCGGGAATCAATATGATCCCCCCGATGGCTCTCCAATATCTATTAAACGTTGATAGCTCACAGCACTCCCGACAAATCAAAGCGCGGCACTGACTGCGCGGATTTCGCGCGCCTCGCCGGGGCAAAGCTCGCGGGAAAATTGACGACGTTATCGGGCTAATCCAGCCGCCGCCCACTCCCCGCACAATGGAGAGAAAATAGCGGGACGTTACGCAGCACTTTCACCGGGTTTACAGGCACAGGGGTCGGGTTGAAATGATAGGCGGGAGTTTTAAGATAGCCTGGGTGCCATCCTATTTGTATGCCGGGGCTCCCATACTCTAGCCTGAGTGTCAGCTTTTTTAGCTGTCGTCCGCTCCGGCTCTTGGGGAGTAGACGAAAGCTAAAGAGGCTGACACTCAGGCTATCCATACTCACTCCCTAAAAAATGTCTGGAAAAATCATTTTGGTTTGGTTTGGTTTCCAGTCGATTCAGATCTAACCGTCTCCAGACTATTTCTTAGGAAGCGAGTGTGGGAGCCCCGGCATACAAATAGCATGGCACCTAGGCTAGTTTTAAGAGGAGTTGGTGGCGGAATTTGAAAGCTGTTTTTTGGGGGTACACAAACTTAAACAGGAACGACCGGAACAAGAAAATCATCAACGTCCCTGCAAAAAGAGCGCATGTTATCGTTTGCTCGAAATATACGTTGTAAAATTTACTTGTGTTATATAAATCATACGTGTTATTACAAAATGCCATACATTACAAAGCACACATTCATGGACATTCAAATGCAAGGCAATGGGCAGATTCATGGGAAGCGCAGGTTGCCTGGCGCAGAGTTGTGCAAAATTGCGTTTTGGACGCAGACAAGAGAAGGAGAGAAGCTGCAGTAGAGAAACGGCGACAGCGAAAGACGTAGCACCCCTAACTACACAGCACACATGCAGCGTGTGTAACAGCTAGGGTCTAGGGCCCAGGGCAAGACTATCAATCCACACCCGAAGCCACATGAGAACTACAGAGGCGCATTGATAAGTCTGCTGAGAGACCGAATTAAAGTTGCCGAAGTAGTTCTGTAGCGTCCTCTGGCGGAAAGGCAGGGCGTGCATCCGTGCATCCTTCCTGACAATACGCAGTACCTATAATCTACAGTAACTCTCATTGAATGATAGGCTAATGGAATTTGAGGATGAGCTGGATAATTTCAACTTTAACATTATTCAAATCTGTGAAGCAAGAAGGAGAGGGATGTCTTGTCCATACTAGAAGCGGTGAATAAACTACATAGAGACAGCTTAACCACGGTAGTGATCAGGGAGCGAAAAATCTCTGGAAGTTTCCTTACCTCTGGAAGACGCCAGATTGTCGACGTGCGTACACTCCGACCTACAGCGCCGGTCTGAGCAAACTTGGCGAGACGAGGTGGTTTTCTTTGCCAGGAGAAGAATTTATAGCTGAACAGAAAAGTCATTTTCGCGAAACCCAAAAGGGCTTACGCCAGATGGTAGGTTTTAAGAGGCACACATCGTATATATCTTGAATATCGTTGCTGTATATGCAAAAGTTTTGCAGATTTTCAAAATAACATCTGGTGAAGTATTCATTGTAACACATGTTAGCCATTTCTTAGCTTGAAAAATATCCATTTCAAAGGACTGGCCGCGGCCTTCAACGCACGTTAACACACCAGTACGGTTCAAACGTGAACTTTTGTTTGATGATTTTGCAAGTTCATAACATAGAGGTTAATTAAGGCTAGGTCGAGCGCGACAAGACCCCTAACATGTTCCATAGGACCTGCTACTTGCCCTGAGTAACTACCACGCCAAGTACAACACTCGTTAGAGCTGTTCTTGGCTCTTTACAACACACATTATGTATTTGGAGGACTATATCACAGGCGGGCGCTGAAAGCATATGTTTCTTCGAAATATGATTTCAAAGATATTAAGGCCAATGACATTTGCAGACTCAAATGTGAAGAACCCAGTTGTAACAACATTTATATTGGAGAGACTGGCGAGCCATTAAGGAAAGGTACAAATAACATTGCACGAGTGAACTGTGTTGAACTTGGCACATTGCAGATCTGAGTTTCCTGCCAAAGCTTTCTCTTGCTTAAGAAACGTAGAAGCTTTGAAATGTTACACTAATATGGCAAAGAAACGCACGGCGCCTTAAAAGCTAAGTGTTTATTGTAGCATATGTTTGCCATTGCTTAAGGTTATGCTGCAATGGGATATTCTATCTTAGGCAACTTGAAAAATGGTCACTTTCAAACCTGATCTCAACCGTATGTTAATACACCACTGTCATTCAAAAAGACTTCTGTTTTATCATATTGCAAGTTCATAACATAGAGGATTAAGGCTAGGAGCGGGCAAAGACCTCACCCATGTCTTCTAGGAAGCCCTGGCCAAGTACAACGCATTACCACATCATGGCACATGCTACTCTTGGCTCTTTGCAACACACAGGTGGGGAATGGGTGTTTGGGTAGTGGGGATTGGGGGATTGTAGAAGTGGGAAGTAATTTGGTCAACCTGTAAAACGTATGAATGCCAGGTTATATTTTCTCTTCATAAAATGATAAATCGGACATTGTCTTAACTTGTTTCGCTAGACGGATGATTTGTTACATAGACACTCAAATACGAAGACAGTTTTATACTACGTACAGTTAGGATTTTTCTTTCAGAATACCAGTGTCTCGTGGCACCACTATCCGCTAAATCTGTTGAATATAGAACGTGTGTAGTCTCTTCTCAATACAGGATCCCAACGTTGTCGTTCAGTCTTCATTTGGTCGCAAAACAGTTTATCAACACGAAAAATTGGACCTTTGCTTGACCGTACTACATAATTAGGATTTTTCACCCTAGAATGACAAATCTTACTGACTACTTTGTTCGTCTTTTGATAGTTCTGTAACTCCTTTTGAAACCCAGCCCCTTCTTTGGTTATCTGTCTCGCAATTGCTTCCTTAAAGTGATTGTACAACAAATAATCAGCGTAATTATGTTCTATGAAATTTTGTCGCATCCTGTCGGTGATGTTGTATTGGGTCTTGCCGTAATTCGACCTCTTGGACGGTTGTACGCTGTCGTACATAATGTCCTCAACCGACCAGCACATGCGCCGTCGAAGCAAGACCATCGATTGGTCAAACTGTTCGAGGATCATGACCAATGAGAAGTCTCTCTCAATGTTCCGGATGAAATTTTCAATGGCGGTCTTGTTTTCGTAGTCTTTTTCCTTTAGGCCGAGATCCCTCGCCATACAGTTCCGGTTACAGATATGATCCACAAAGTCTTTTCTTGTAGAGGGTCGATAGAGTTTGTCCCATCTCTTTGGATCCTCAAGGTATGTCAGCACCGGTGGTTTTGAACCAGCCGCCTCCCTCAGGCCTATGAAATACCTCTCCATCTTGAAGTATTTGAACGAAGAACGAAGTCTTGACAACGGTTCTCTCAAGATGGCTACATACTTGGTGTTCTTCGGCATGAGTTTGTGGAAGCCGGTCCTGTTGTAGATGGCGTGGTGGGCAAAAATGTTGGGGTAGCCTCTCGGTAGGGCCAGGTAGTCGCGCTTTGTGATGACGCCGGCTGTCCCGATGGAGGGCCGATCTCGTTCCCGGGGCAGTGCGACCGTCAGACGATGTTTGTGCCCGTACCTGAGGAAGACTTTCTGGACTGTGGTAGACCCGCACTTGTGAACCTTCATGAAGGCCACGTTGGTCTGGGGTTGTTGGCAGGGCGGCGGCGTCAGCTCCGCTACATGTGTGGAGCTGGAAAAAACATCAAAATAAATCACAGCCAGCAATATTTCAAGCTGCTTTGGGGGGGGGGGGTTCGGCCCCGGTTTTTTGGGGGGCACAAAGTCGGTCTTTCTGGTTACTGCCGTCCTAATTGAAATCCCTAGCGCGCTCTGAGCGGGAAGATTTGCGGCGAGCACACCCTTCCCTAGCGCCGTAGAGATTGGGGAGCCACGGCGGTCTTGTTCACCATGGTAGTTCAAACGACGGCAGACGGCAGACGGCAGTCATTTTCAACTCGGAAACTAAATAATTTGGCCAGAAAAAACGTTTACAGCTGTCTCATCCAGTGTACATAACATTTAGACAACTGATAATGTCACAAATGTAGGTCTATAAACTGTATGCAATAAGATATAAACATTATAAAGGTGTAGGACAATCCAATTTTCATCAACAAATCGCATCAAAGGCAGACAATATTACACTAAAGACGATTATCACTTTGATAATGAAGAATCGCAATACCTGAGTAAAGACGCTCTTTTTACACAACCCAGTGTTTTATTTACAGCCGACGTTTCGGTGACCGTCTGTCACCTTTCTCAGGGCAAGTTTGACTGGTCCACATTACACTGCAGCACAGGTGTCGCTGCTACAGATGCATTCCCAAACGTAAAATATTTACCTGTTAGTAGGTTGTGCGGATAACCATCCTTTTAGCCTGGGACGCGTTTCACGTGATGTCACCAGGTTTTCCTCAAAGTGCAACAACAGAAACAAAGCGATGACCAGTGCTGACGTCACCGACAGGAAAAATCTCCAGAGGTTCTGCCGTGTCCACAGAAATGTTACAATGGGTGGTTGTTCTTTGATGTTTTTCCTCAGATGCTTTGGCCTGCATGAAGATTCAGAAGAAAGATCTGTTACGAAGTGCACGTCGAGGACGGGTGTACTTGGCATGTAGATATTAGTTGAGACAAAAGCGTTACGATTAGAACTAGAGAGAGTCCTTAGTCGTCCAGACCAATGGTAAACTTTCTGACAAATTGCCACCTAAACATCAACTTGGAGATTATATACTAGAAACTGTTAGATTGCTAGCTGTCGCGTCCTACATGTATCACTAGTAGTTTTGTAGCGACCTCTGGCGGAAAGGCAGGCGCTTTCAATTTTCATCGATCTTTCCCGATAATGTGAAAATGGTCCATAACTTCATTTAAGTTTTGACCTCCTGACCTCACAGTCTTATCTCATGGTCGGAGTTCTCGGAAACCAGGAATTGTCTGACTCATCGTAGCCTCGCCTCAAACAGATCGATAAGAACAGCTGGTTTTGCTTTTTGCTACGATTTTGCCTCAGCAACTGTAACTAACATAGACGAGTGGAAATTGTGTGAACATTTCACCGACTTATAGCAAATCTTTTTGTCGGACGTAGCGGCAAAATGCTATAACTGAGTGCAACAAATTGTCTTTGTTCGTTTGTTTGTTTGTTTGTTTGTTTGAGCATTTGTGTACTCATGAAATACGTCCTGCTGGTCGTACCTTTTTTTCATTGAGGTCACAAGGGAAGACATCAGGGTCAGATAAAATATAACAAGCTAGATGACATGATTTAAGTCCTAATAAATCCATATACATACAGTGTGGATTGTTGTTGCCGGGTAACGACCAACTGCATGCGTTGTTATTGGGGAGGGGGGTGTTCAATATCGACTGACATTGCCAAGACCAATTGCAAACCAGCCTGCAATGTACAGTACCTACCTGCATCACCATTGGTGCTAGCTAGATATACTAACATACAGCATCTCTATTGGGCATGGCATGGGAACGAAATTTAAGAGCTTTAAACAACGTTATACGCTCGTACCTTTCTCCAACTGTTGCCGGTCTCGCCATGCCGGAATGTGACGTGTAAGGAGACATATATAGCTGCGGCTGTGGAGGTCGAGCTCTGATGAACTTTATTTTGACGAGTCATATCGAAAGAGCTGGCTTGGGCGAAATGGATGCATAAGTAAGAAAGAAAGTCTAAGCTTCCATACAAAACGGTTTCCCATGCTTTTACCAGCAAATACACTTTACAACTTAAAATTGAAAAGTAGATCACAAGTCAAACGCTAACGGCCTGCCTGATAGTTGATATGGGTTGATGCTTTGACCGTTTCTGTGCCTAGTATGAACCAGAGAAACATGATGCCGTCAGAATGTGAGATGTCCATATCATACACAGCTGTCATAACGGCATGCAGTACCATATACAAACATGGGGAGGGGGTGCTTCATAAAATCTTACTGTATTGATATGAGCGTATAAAACTAAATGGCAGTTTTATCAGTTTTTTAAAGTATCACAGAAGTTTGGGTCCTTTCGTAACTTGAGTAGCGAGGTAAATTCAACGTTAATATTTCCCCCAATTATGCTTAACGTACTCTGTTCCTTATTATGATGACATGGTATGTGTAATAACAAACTATAGGAATTCTGAAAGATCAGTTTAATGAAGTCACAAAGACTACGAATAGCATGATAAAACAATTATTTACACAAATGGAATAGCCACGATTTTAAAAAGACTCCTGTCATATACACAACGTCTGGTTTACCGTAATATTTACAAGAAATTAAGGCACTCTGAGAGAGGCCTTTCGTCGGCCATCGTTTTTCTTCATGGTTTTGTATCTTTTGCGAAACATCCTGTCCCAGAATTGCCGTTCTTGTCGTATCAAGGTACAGAAATGGTTGTAGATGCGGATTCTCTGGTTCCACGGACTCGGTCCCAGTATGAAACTTTTCGGTCTCGTTACCGTGTGGCAGTTTCTACCGATAACGGCGTTTATTCTCTTAAAATGTTGCAATTCGGGGTCAAAGTCTTTCCCTTCTTTCTTGATTTTGCCCAAAAGTACCGCTTTAAAATGTTTGTACAGCAAATAATCCGCATAATTTTCCTCGATGAAATTTTGTCGTCTGTCTTCTGTGATGACGTCATGTTTTCTGTACCGCGCTCTTCTTGACCAATATAAATTGTCGTAGATGATGTCCTCGAACAGCCAGCACATACGACGCCGTAACAAGATCAGCGATTGGTCGAAATGCTCCAGGATCATGACCAATGAAAAGTCTCGGTCAATACTACGGATGAATTTGTCAATGGCGCTTCTGTTATCAAAATCCTCCTCTTGAAGTCCAAGATCTCTTGACATACAATTCCTAATGCAAATATGATCTGCAAAATCTCTATCTTTAGGAGGAACATAGACACTATTCCACTTTTTCACATTATCCAGATATGTTACAACTGGAGACCCTTTTCCTGTTTCATTCAGAAGTCCCGGAAAGTATCTTTCCATCCGAAAGTAGTGGAATGCTGACAACAATCTAGAGACCGGCTCTCTTAACACTGTTACGAACTTCGTGTCTTTTTTCATCAACTTCAGTAGTTGAGTCCGGTTGTAGGTGCCGTGGTGGGCGAACATGTCCCAGCGAGCTCCGCCCGGAGGCGGTTCGTAGTCGTCCCGGGTGATGATGCCGTCGTGCCCGATGGTGGGCCCGTCTCTTCCCCGGGGGAGCGCGACGTTCAGACGATGGGTGAACCCGAAGCGGAGAAAACTCCTCTGGAGTGTTGTGGAGCCGCACTTGTGCACCTTGATGAAGGCTATACTCGTGTGCTTGGCGCAGTTTTGCGTGTCGGTAGAACGGGTGGTGTGTACTACGATAGTTCTGTGGGAGTGAGTACTAGTGGTGCTGGCCTCTGCAGTCGTCCACGATTGCGATGTGTTGCCAATGGAGTCATGTTTCTCGCTTTGGGTGGTCTGAAGAAGTCTGATCAGAGAAAAAACATAAGCAATCTAATTACAGAAATTCCTGATACTTGTTTTGCACTGAAGAATGTTTCAATTAGTTTAACGTCCATCAAAATATCATCATTGATGCGTGTTAGGAGTTTGATAAAAACCCAGTACAACATTGTCACGTCGTCTAAGATACTGGAATACTGCCAGTGATGACTGGAATACTGCCACAGACAAGTGTTACTGTTAGCACGGTGCAAGTCGCTGACTGTGACTAAATGCGCAGAACAATCGCAACCTTAACTGAATCCTAGTACATTGTACATGTAGTAGTAGGCATCCTATCATCTCAAGAGATGATGGTAGCATTCTAGGTCTGGTGTTGTGGCCGTGTGCAGCGTCTGGTTTGCCTAGCCCTATCTCCGCATGACAGTCCCGGTCACAGCTAGGAACAAGAAAGTTGAGATCACTGAATCCTACCTATATCTATGAAAAAGTCAGATTCGTACTTGTTGGTGGTTGTTTCCTTCCCTGCCCGCCTTGGTTGCTGCCATGTGACAGACTTCCACTGCAGGCGGACGGTGAAGACGGTGTACCCGGCCCAGCAGCAGGGCCAGCACCACGGGCAGGGAGTACTTCCACAGCCGGGACGGGCCGGTCACACATCCGCACGGAACTCCTCTCTGTTGCACTATTGGTACACTCCTATACCTGGGCGTGGATGGAAATAAAATTGTTATATTTAAAGAAAACTTTATTACATATTTCAGCGTATGTGTAGTAGTGGGATTGGGCCAGACTGTTGCCAGGGCCAGCAGTATACAGACTAGCTCACCGGGTCCAAGACCAACATGCACCCAATTTTTACCATAGACATCCCTCTCAACTGATTTGCTAGCTGACAACAGTTTGGCATCCAGGCTACTTATGCAGTAGGTAATGTCCACTACCATTGTGCTAGCTAGCTAGCTCCTTCTGTGTTAGTCAGTTCCTTGCTAGATGCGCTCACAGAAAAGAGAAGAAGACAGACGCATCTAGTTTACAAAATGAGCACCTGTATCTTGAAAACGTTAACTTTTAGCACTCTGACGTAGCCACTTAGCTATAGATAGTACCAGTTCTCTGTTGGTTATAGGGTAATATATATGAAGCGCGGAGAAGGTTAAATAATTTACAAACATGTATCACTAGCGTCATCTATCGAAATACGTCAACATCACAGTTGACAGGCGGGAGACTGTCATTGACGAGAAAGCGCCATGTGTGGGCGAGTCATTGACCACCATGATCTGTAAAGTCACAGAAGGCAAAGGCCCTACTTAGTAACTGACAGGTTGGTAAGGACATGTACTAATAAAGGATCGAATAATACCAGGGACATATTCGCAACACATCTGCAAGCCTTATACATGAGTAAGCTTGTATGTATACATGTAGTTAATGCACATTTGTAGTGGTTTTAGTGAACCATTTTGTACATGTTCAATCGTCTAAGGAAATGCAAAAATAACCGTGAAAACATGTAAATATAATCTGATTGTACTATCATTGTAGATTTCATTCTGCACTTTGTCTGCAAGAAAACGTCTAAGACTCCTCAAAACACACATAAAATTCCCTCAAAGTTTTAGCTGGATTTCTTTTGGATACATTTGATAACATAAATGCAGGAGAATACAGCTAGTGACCTTGGCAGTTGAACATAAAACCGTGGCACAATTGGCGCCTGACCAAGTCTGCCTGCGTACATAGGAACATCCTACACCAGAAATAGCGGCATGGACGTGTCAGGCTCGCGAGTTCTCGTGATTGTGACCAGCGGATGCGCGCATATCTCTACACAACGTTACGTACACAGTTACATACCTGCTGTTTGATTTATCGTAGACCCACCGCATCTTCTCTAGAACCAGAGCGTCTCTGTTGTTGTTTCCAGACCCGCTAGTAAAGCACAGCAAGCGAGGGCGACGTCCTTTAGAGTAGTACTAGCGATCCCATGTCGGTATTTGGGCCATGATCTCCGGTTGGAGGCGGCACGACAAAACCGACTTGGGGAATGTGCGAAGCTGACATCACAAGGCTTCAAGTCAGCACTAGTACTGGCGCTACGTATTTGGCCACTGTGAAAATATCGTTACGCATCGATCACGTGTTTATTCTGGCCACAGGGAAAATATTGCGGACTGTTTTTTCAGTCCCGCTGTTGGAGCAAGGATCCTTCCACTGCATGATGGGTGCTGTCCTGGATATCATGCTACAAAAACTGCACGCCATCCATGAAATTCCACCCTAATACTTATGCCTATACCCTATTAGACCTAACACCCTAAACCATTATGCTTCAGTCTACTTCTAGTACATCTGTACTAGTGTCTAGTTTGCTATTTCTACATTTGGTCCACGACTTTTTCTACGATTTTCAACTGAATCGTCTCAATGCTTTGCCACATCATAGTGCTTTAGTAAGTGTGCCTTTTCCCTCCATGCCTTGCTCCACTAGTTCTACCAGCCAAGGGAAAGGATGCAGAAAAGCATGCTGTACACCTGATAGGAGATCATTGTGAAGCACCTCCCCATGACTTGTCCTGGTATTTAACACTGTTTCTCTTGTTTATTGAGAAAGCTCATGTTGTCTTACCCCACAGTGGGAGGGAATAGCATGGATCTTCAGCACATACTCAGTGACAGCATTTAAAGTTCCTGCAATGTTACAGCTGAATCGCAAGGTGGACTATATTTCTATTTTTGCTGAACAACAATTGAGTTATAATCTTTTATTGTGGTCCAATGCTCAAAAGAGCGAAGCATGACATCTTTGCTATAACCAGCTTTTCCTAAAGGATGCCCTTGGTGTCTAAAGGAACTGTGAGCAAGTTCAACAATTGATTACCCAAGGCAACAAGTGCAACAAAAATATGTTCTACTCCATATTATATTGTACAGTGATCCCCTGATACATGGCTCCTCTGCTAAGAGAGAGTACCAGTTAGGGCTGGTGCTTCAAACAGCTTTACAATTTTCACATACAACATATCTCCTTTGATACTTGTAAAGAATCATTTCTACAATTCACTACCTTATGAGGACTGTACTGGGGAACTTTTGGTGGTCACATTGCTGAGACAAAATGTTCTTTACCTACCGAAACATCAAGAAAATAGGAATTATATGTACATGTACTGTCCATAAATGAAGAAAATCTGTGTCTTTATTCTACTATAGCTGCTGAATACAGATATTTTCCATTCTTGGGGATAACCCAGAATGCATTGCTGGAGTACATACATAAATGGTAGAGGTCAACATTTATTCATATTTTCATCTTTCTCCTTTTTAAGGTCAATTTTCAAATGCACATTTTATTTTGCATTGCCACTTTTCATACAAACAACACTACTACCATTCTTACTTGTTTGTCATGTGTTCTGTGTACATCATCTCTTGTACAAGCTGTGGCTTAAGATTTCTGCACAGCTACTACTACGACTACTACTATACAACATCTTTGGCCCCTACACCATCAAAAAGGACTTGAAGGTTTCACCTTACTTTGCACAGAAATGTTCATCAGAACAAAGACCAACAGAACAGCAAAGTTGTAACAAAAGTTAACAGAACTTCGCAAGAAACATTACAATTGAAGTACTCTGGTCCAGAAGGAGTAATGTAGTTCCTCTGAGATGATTGAATCCTGTTGGTTTTGTTAAATCTACCTTGAGTTTAACCTTGAATGCAGCAGGAACTTTATGGCAACTAAATAGTAGCAAAATCATACTGCTAAGTAGGCCCTCTCTCATGAAAAATTCAACGCACATTGAACTGTTGGGTTGTTGGGTCCTCAAAAGATTTCAAGAACTCGATTGCTACAACGTTCTTGCTGTGTTCCGGTAAATTTGACAACACAGACTGGAGTCAAGCATGACAACTTACTCTCTGAAGAATTTTAATACTCACTTCTGGACCACAGTATTCCTTTTATGTACATTACAGAAGTGCTTGGAGCACCTGTACATGTAATCTCCAAGCAGATCCTAGGGTAGCAAAAGACAGTATCAAATTGGCCAGGCAGTATCCATTCACCAGAGAGGGTATGGATCCTCTCTGGCGAATGGATACTGCCTGGCCAATTTGATACTGTCTTTTGCCACCCTAGGATCTGCTTAGAGATTACTGTACATGAATGAGTGTTGAATGGAGTACTATAGCGGAGCTGGGGTTGGCACACTCATGAGAGGAGACTCCAGAGCAGGGGAGTCGTGGGCAGGACTCGGGGTGTAGGAGTTGATCTTGTCAGCCAAGGCACTGAACTGCTTGTGCACCGCCTCTGAATGCTGGAAAAAACAACATGTTATGTTGTCACAGATTGTCATGTAATATCCTAACTACATGCATAGGCTTTACATGCAATAATACATTATTCAATACATAGCTAAACTTTAGTAAGTGTAAAGGAAACAAAACTAATGCTGCTTCTTCACTACAGACACTTAACATAACTTGCAATGTTGACTTAAATGTTTTTAGTTTATATGATACATGTATATGAAGTTGCACTTTTCTACTTTGTCACAAGGGAAAATTTGCAATTATTTTATAATCTACAGTATTCTATACTGTAGTTTGATTCATTACTGAGAGCTACAAAAGTACAGAACATTGAAGTCACCTCTTTTGTAGGTTCCAGTTGTGTCTGCAGTTTGGTGAGTCTGGATGTGGGGAGTTTGGGATGGAGGAACCACAGCAGTCTCAGCAGGTGTCTCCGCACGCCCTCTCTCGACGCAACCACCAGGAAAAAGTTATCAAAAACTGCCGTGCAGAAATCCTCTGACGAGAAGTCATCCGCCATGCTGATGAGCAGAGACACCAGGAGGTGCACGAACGGGTCTTCTAAGGACAAGTCATTGTGAGTGTCTGTCATCTTTGGTATGATGTGCGTGATGGCGTCCTTGTTGCGGTGCTTGGTGACGTTGTACAGGTAATACAGCGTGAGGATGGCGGCGATGCCATGCTGGCGGATGGACTTGGTGAAGGTTTTTGGAATCGAGCTGTTTTTGTGTTTCTCTGTGAGTTTTTTGGTGACGAGTCGGACTTGGTCCTCCACCATGAGGCCCATCAGGGCTGGAAGGAACTTGGTGATGACTTCATTGTCCTGAGGGAGACAAAACACAAAGTGTAGACTGTAGACATTAGGCAGTCTTTGATTTTAAGTCAGAGCTACCTACTTGGCACAGAACATCATCACAGTAATAGCACAACAAATTGAATGATGAATGCTTGCATGAGTTTTTTAATTAAAAAAAACAGCTTTCTTCACATAAGAGGTTTCCTTAATTTAAAACTATCCACTTTATAGCAACAAAGTTAACAATAAATGCTTGTTTGAGTTTTTTCCCATCCAAAGCAAAACAAAATGGTGCTACTCTACTCACAGGCTTAGGTTCCTTGAAGACCTGGCTGTCAATCATTTCCCAGGCTCCCAGTCCGAGGGACAACATACGCAGCAGCAGGGACAGCTCTGGGCTATCCTGTAGGGGGAGACATATCCACAACAGATTATACATCTAGGATGGCTTTATTTGGTATGACCAAGTCTCAAATATGTTGTTCAAGTTCTTGACCCTTGACCAGCTAAATATCATTACTAACCGGAATAATATTAAGTAACACGTGCCGTAGCCATACTGCACCACTAGCTAACGAAAAAGCATAAAGCTTCGTGCTCAGTCTATGGTCACCCAATTCAACTTTTTACAGCATATATCAAACTGATAAATTTGCCAAAACTGACCTGGCAGTTGCAAATACTACAGTGACTGAGAACAACCATTAAGCTACAAAACATCAGTATTTGGTGAGTGAACATATGTGTGCTGTCCTTACCCTGGGTAGAGACTCCTGTGCCACCAGATGCTGCAGGACCTTCAGACTGCTGGAGGCGACGGTGTTCACAGCGTACGGGTCACACAGGATCATGGACAGGTCACTGTGGGCAGGGGGGCACAGAGTTCAAGGTTAGAAATACTGATTTTTTCACTGTACTTTTATGTTCATGGTTTTCAGAACCACCTCTGTACCATGAACTTGCCAAATCAGCTGTCTTTTGCCATCCCCTTCTCTTGCTACTGTGAAGATTGAAGTTCTTTGAACAAGTCCATCTTCTTCCAATGTGAAATGTTGCTACCGTGAAAACAAAGTGAATTACAGTATTAGGTGCCTTGGCAGCTGACAACTTGAACATTACCTGGTGAGCATGCATATTAATTTTTATGGTGAACAAGTTCCTTATAGTGTGCTTTTTATGTGTGTAATACATTAGTCTTTCACCATTGACAAGACCCAACGTATATACAGTACATACTGAATCCCAGCTCTTACCCCAGCACCTGCTCCTGACCTCGCTTGACCCCGTCCAGGAAGCCCTGCAGCTCTCGTGCCCGCTTGGCGTCAATGAAGCGCTCTCGGATGCAGGCGTCCAGACACCAGGTGAACTTGTGGCAGGGGTCAACTGAACAGATCTCATGCACCTGGGACAAATTAAACATGGGTTAAATCAACAGGAAAACAATGGTTTAGTTTTTAGTAGGACCCATACTACCAAAAATTTGAGTGGTGCAGTTAAAATTTTTCTGGTGCAGGCAATTTTCAGTGTTACCTGCACCAGTGCAGATATGCAGAAAAAAGCATTTCAAGCCCTGATTCTGACTGATTTTGATGATTAGATATCCAACAAATTCTACAAGATGGCATATGACAGTACTTTGAGCTAAAAGGAAGTGACCAGTATACTTTACAACAACACATCTATTTTCCTCAAAAAAAGATATCAAATAAGTTTGTATCTAAGTCCATCCAAGCATGCAGTCTACAACCTACAACCCTAAACCTGTGCTGTCCATACCTCTGTGTCGTGTAGTGCCATAAGCAGTTCAGCTCTCAGCGTACAGTAGTGAACGTTTCTCGTGCGAAGGAACAGCGTCCGTAGGAACTGTAGGACCATGTCGTACAGCTTCACATCCCGGCCTATCATGTGCATCAGCTTCTGAACTACCTATAAGGAGGAACACAATGAAAATGTTAATTCACATATGCTTTAATTGTATCTTACAGAATTCTTTCAGTGGCACAGTAATATCTAGTGCTGTGTACTGGTTCACTTGAACTAGTACACAAAACTAGGACTTACAAAAAATTTTTTTTTTAATCATCACATTTCCCTTTTTGTTCTAAACCACCTGAAATCTTGGTTGAGGATTGTCCTAAACCTGAACCTAAACCTCTGGACTTGAATCTGGACCTGGACCTGAACGTGGGTTTAGGTACATAGAACTAGTAATGTTTCAACTTAAATACACCTCAATCACATCAATATTTTCTTTTCAGAAAACAAATTTTACCAGAATGGATGTACTCATGTAGTTCATGACTTAGATACATTGTCTTTCTTCTATTAAATCTTGTACTTTAAAGGACTATTATTAAGAGAGTCGCATACTTACCTCCCCCTGTCTGCGTGACTTTGGTGCAGGTGTGAAGAAGTTGTTGGAGTTGGCAGGTTCCAGACTGAACAGTAACGTGTCCTTCTCCTTAATGTACTGACTCAGCAGTGGAGATACCTCATCTCCAAACAGAGACTGGAAAACACAGAAGAACCCAACAATGTTATACTATAGAAATACGAAATATGTATAGAAAATTGTTCTTGCATATTATAAAGTTAATTATACAATATCTGTCAGTCTTACAGTAACTTACATGTACATGTACTAGTAAGTAAAGTCACTCTAGATCTAATACAGATATGAATGTCTACAGATTGTAATCCACCAAAAAACTGATGTACACACTACACAGACACCTTACAAATCAATACTTCCTTCCCAATGTTTCCAATGTTTTAACCTTTTCTCTACTGCCTACTCCTGTAATAAAATAGAGGATTGGCAGCCAAACAGCTACTTCAGTATCACTATGCTAAAGGTTAAAAAAAATAACAGGTAGTCCCTGGTCCCGTACCTGGTTATTTCTCCAGATCTGTCTCTTGACTTCTGTGGCGCTCTCCTTGTACAGGTTCGGGTCTTCTAGCAGCTTCTTCAGGTAGTCTTCTGGGATGTTGTTGATGTGTTTCATCACGTGCATGACCACTGGTCGCAGCGTGGGGTTCTTTATCGTCAGGAAACACTTCTCCAGCATCGCTTCCAGTTTCGCTTTGCTCTCGGCATCCGTGTCTTTCTCTGAGACAAGGCTGGAGACTTGCTGCATCAGGCGATCCTTCAGCCTCTCCACCATGGACCCGTGGAAGTCAAACCGGTTCACGCTGTGCAGGTCCAGTAGCGGCAGGGCGGGTTTTAGAGATGGCAGGAGGATGCTGTTCTCATCTTGGAACTCCTGGATGGCGCGGATCGGATCCGTGCACGTGGAGAGAGCTTCTCGCAACTGTTCGCCTCCGGGAATGCCGAGGTCAGTCAGTCCAGTACTACTCGCTGTTTGAACCACAGGTTCAGTCGACTTTTTCTGAGCCATGGCGTCCGTTCACAACAATGAAAGGTGCTTTGTAGTTTGCGGGGTTGACAATTATGACTGACTTGACAATGTGTTTTTCAATGAAAAATGCAGTTTAGAATCTTGACATGATGCCCCCTTAACACCAGCACTACCCTAACTGCCCTGGGAATGTGAAAAATCAACACTGCTTCAGCTAAGACACGCTGAGATAAGTTTCATATGGAGGAAGATTCATATCAATGGCAGGCCTGCAGTACCCCCAAGGAAAGCATGGTGGCTTTCCAGATGACAAAGATTTACTCCGCGAGTCTACGCAAAATAAAGTGTGTTTCGCCGGGAAAATAAGAAGCAATAACAGTGAAACTTGCCCTGTGTGACCCTGGCTACCTCCTACACAATTGGATCTGTGATAGACCCCCGAACGTTTTCTCCTGAAGGGGAAAATTGTCCAAAACCTCGGCAGCAGTCGTAGGGGCAACTGCTCCCTCTTCAAGATGGCCGCCATGGGCCAACGAGCGAAGGGCGCATGCCTATAAAGTTGGTCTGAAGAAAGATAGCGCACGATTTGTAAAATATCAACTCCCTTTCATTCCTGTCGATTTTTTTAACACATATACCTCTCTAAAAGTCATAGTTATACAGAAAATATATTTTAAATGCTGTATGTATTACATTTATATGAATTTATGATTTATTTCTTTGACAGATTTATTTTTTCTGGAATCTCTAATTGTTACCGAAAGGTGAAGCGTATAAGAAGCTACATATTTGCACCCACACCAAAATTCAAAAGGAAGGAGTGACTGCCATCAAGTGTCAGTTGTTTTGATGTTTGCTCTTTCTCCAGCTGGATAAATTGCCGTCTTAAGGACTCTTATCACCTCTAATTAACTGCCGGACACGCAAGGAAAAACCCGGGTCTACAAAGGTTTGGCGAGGACCCCCAAAAATGTCGCTGTTTTTGCTCAAGGCAAGCGTGTCAAGTTGTCAGGAGCAACGGATCTTACGTCCGACATGTTCTCGGCAAATTCCTGATTTGCAACCCTGAAGCTTCTCGTGGTTTCAAGTTTGTTTTCAAGGTGAGTCCAGTTTGTTGTTTTGTGGCATCGGTGCTATCTGACACGCTGTAAATCATTGCTGGGATTGATCCAAGCGACGTTGACGCTAGAGTCACTTGGGCTGTGATTTCAAACATGGGCGTTTGCTGAAAATTGTACTTCCTGTGCATGTAGTGGTACATAATTTTGTTACATTCAACATTGTAGAAGAATCTGAGACTCTAAAAAGCGGTAACCCGTGTAGCTCGAAAATATGAGTGTTAAGAGTTCAAAGGCAGCATCTCGATACCCTCGATAACCCACAAGGTTTTGGTTTGCCGATTCCGAGTTTCCAGTGCCGAAGCCGCCGTCACTGGGCACCAAGTGTTGACGTAACTTCGGCACTGGAGATCTAGGACGGAAGCCTCCTCACCTCTGTATACCGAGTGCTGAGAAAGGAACCCGTTACTTCGGTACTTTTGCACCCGTGTACTGGGCTGCTGAAAGATTATTTCACTCAACGCTGTCCCGTAAGTTACAATAAGTCACTGGGTGTAAAGCACAACAAGTGCAGTGTTGACAAGCCTTCTGCACTTGATAGCAATTAGTGTGGTGTAATAATTCCGGTGCCATGACAGGGCTTGATAAGAGACTAACGACATGAATATGTACATTCACACATACTTGAACTCTGTGGGTGGCCTAACAGTTCTACTAAAACATCCTATTATAATCCTAATAGTGTGGGCAGGTCTGTTAAACAACTGAGAGACTAAGGTCTTGTTTCATGTTGGCTCTATATAAATTATATTTTACCAGAACTTGCAGTTGATAATTATAATATTGGAATATAATATGTCATGCTGTCCCTTTTTCTGACACAAAGAATGTTAAAGTTAAACTTGACATGGAGGTTGAATATGTGTTACAGTTGCTGATCTCATACAAATGCTATCTAACATGAAAACTCTTGGTGCTGATCTAATCATTAGTCTCGCCTAGCTTCTAAAGCTGTTACCAATGCTGATGTCATTTTTGGTAGTTAATTTTGGTACTTCCATTATGCAAACACTTTTCAAACATTTACACGTAGGGTAAGCAATTGTAGCTCTTAATAGAGTGATACTTTCAGAGTGACTTACTAAAAGTATCGACTAACTAGAATTTATCCAAGTTTCTGAATCCTTGACTGAATATATATAATACAGGAAAGTTAAAAGTGGCAGGAAGCAGTTCTTGTGACCGGGTCACCAACGTCCTGTTGATGACACACTGGCTGTATTGTTGGACTGGGAATTTGTATTCATGGCATGTATCAAGGCAGACTTTCCAGACTGTCATTATCAATGGAAAATTATAGTTCGCTCCTTTCACCGTAAGGCTTAGGATGATTGGGGGAATATATACACTTAAGTACCTTTCTATGGTATATAGGGGATACTCAAATTCTAATCATCATAGGAAACTAAAAGATGGAGAAAACAGTACTTGGTTTATTTAGTGCTCCATAAAATATGACCTTTTTCTTTCAGTTGGGAAAATTATATTATGATCGAAAGCAGCCTCCCATCCCACCTGCATGATTTTTGTGTTGCTGTCCTGCTGGGAGGCTTGGCTAATGAATTATTAACAACTCAAGGACCAATGCCATGAACATGTGGCAAGTCTAATTCTAACAAATTTCCCCTAAAACATTTCACATTAATCATGAAGTGATGGCAATGTTACATAATATATATATATTTAGCATTTTATGGTAAATCTTTGTTTTGTAACGTTCAGTTGGTGCCAATGTCTTTAACTTTGTGCATGTGTGTGTAAACTGTTTCATCACTGTTCTGAGTCTCAAAGGAATCCTTTGTTCCAGCTTGAGTACATGTTACTGTAGTTATGCTGTATGGTGTACTGAACAGACATGACTTCCCAGTATGTACAGTACATACTGGGAAGTCATGTCTGTTTTTTCAATCCAAGTAAGTGTTTCAGCAGCTTTTCCTATGAACTATGCAGTCAGAATGGACACAAAGAAAACAGGAATAGATAATATGTTGTGGCATATATATATGGCTTATTTCCAGACACAGTGGATTGATGAATTCCAAACCTGTTTCACAGCCTAGCCAAGAGTCGCTAATATTGGCATTTGTTCAAATGAATTTTCGAAACCAAACTTTCCAACTTTACAGTATTCTAGACTGAGATACTTTATATAAAATAGCCACCTTTGCCCTGTACTTCTACATTGTCTGAAGATTGTATAGATCTATGTCGAATCCCTTGTGCCACAAGATGGGAGCTTTCCTTTGATTGCTCATGGCAGCATGTGAATAGCGGACGGTTAGGATTGCCCACTGACACGTGACATCAAGGTTAGCATTTAGCATACCTTTTGCAGCCCCAGGCTATAATATATTATTCAGCCTGGACTGAAGTCAATTGCTTAGAAGTCCTGGTAACACCCTGCATACACGTGGACATCCAACGTTCTTTTTGTCACTGCTGAATTCAAAGGATGAATGCAGCTCAGTCTGGCAAGAGGCCAAAACAACATGACCAAGGCTATAGATGAAGGGCCATCTTGTTGGAGAACTGATTGTAGCTTCTCCCTTATGTAACTTACATAGATTTCACTGTGCTGTGAGGATGGCAAGTGAGAATTCTGTGTCATGTTTTACAGACAGCGGACAGAGGACGCCCAATGTCTGCTGCTTCTGTCACACACAAGGAGCCCGGCATGTACTGGTGAAAGAAGTCTCACAGAGAGAAGCTCAGCCTCAGTCAGCGGTCATCATGGCAGAAGGACCTGTTCCCCAGCGGGGCTCGAGCCAGGCCGAGTCGCAGTCCTGGGCAGAGTGGACAGAACAGCTGCAGGCGTACGTGGCCTGGGTCAACTCGCAGTTGAAGAAGCGCGCCGGGTGTCGTATCGTGTCGGACCTGCGGAGAGACATGCAGGACGGAGTGGCGTTCGCTCAACTGGTGGAGATCCTGTCAGGTGAGTCTATTGTTGTTGGTTGGTTGTATTCTTATCTTGTGTGACTCATAGTATAGATAGGACAGAAGTAATTGTTAGGATGACAACTACCGGTACATTCATCGCAGTACCACTTTGTCAAACAAAACATGCCACAAAATTGTCGGAATACCAGTATTGGTAATAGTACATTAAGTATTTTTACAGCTTCCAGAATATATAATCAGTGTTCCTACCGCCTTTAATACATAAAGTAATCAGTATGTAAATTGAAAGGTCCAAAGATCAACAATTAGATAACTGTCCCCCCAACTGGCAAAGCTCTTTGAAATCGTTGGCTAATTAAACTTAATGAAGTCAAGAAAGGGATAATTATTTACATCGGTGGAGTGTGTCATTATACCCAAGGGCAAAGGGGTCAAGAAAGGTTAGGAGTTCAGCATGATTTTGGGTTCTATACACTTATAGTTCTGGTCAGTACTTATCACTAGTTAATCTTTAATGATGTTTGCATGTACATGTAATTTTGCATTTATTTACTCCCTTAGATTGTGAAGCAACATTGAAAAGAAAGCAGTACAACTTTTGGCTTCTATGTGAAAACTCCATCCTTAACAGGCCACAAAAGTAATTTGTCAAGTGTAATGACTCAAACTTAATGTAATACATTATGTAAGCCTGGTTCTTGATAAATGTTGCCTTTGTTCAAGTTAAGTGTCTACCCTACCAACCATGCAGTCTTCTTGACTATAACAGTGTTGCCTAGTAGCCCTTTCATCTTGCTGTAATGACCCAAAATTACTTTAGTGTGCCATGTGGGTTGCTTGGCATGTTGCAGTCTTTTGCTACTGAACAGAAACAAAGCAAAATGCTCGCACATGTCTTCATTATTTACAGTTCCCTGTGTCATGCTAAACAGTTTATAAAGCTATACGTTAACAACTATTCACCTCACAGTTACAATTATTCCTATAGGGGTCTTTGAGACACACTGACAGGTCCCACCCCCTAGGTTGCTATTGTTAGGGTCCTGTGTATCAAAATGTCAGGCGTATCAAATGAAACTGCCATCAATGGCCACGTCATGGCCGACAACTCTGCAAGGCGCAGGGAAAGGACAGCATTATGTTCATGAATGTTAGGGATTAGCCCGCTGAATGCTGAATGGGAGGCTGTGAATGCGATACCTTTTGTTTGTGGGATAGGTGTATGTCTGCTTATACATGTAAGGTATTTGTGGCTGCAAATGTGATACCTGTTGTTTGTGGGATAGCTGTGAGATTGCATGAACATTAGGGGTGGGTACCTGTTCGGCTCTTTCAGGTCCAGGTCCAGGTCCAGGTCCAGAGGATCAGGTCCAGGTCCGGACCTGTACCTGTACCTGATTCTGGACACCGGAGTATCAGTACCAAATAATTTTTGCTAAACGATCATTGCTAAATGCTTAATGTATAAGTAACCACTACAAAATTTTTTTATTTATTTTTTTTTAATTTTTTAAAATTTATTCTTTTTTTTAATTTATTTTTTATTTTATTTTATCCTATTTTAATTTTATTCTATCCTATTTTATCCGTTCTATACATTATCAAGCTTCTCCTCTTGTCCTATATGGCTAAAACCTCAGAACCGAATATATTAATACATTAAACTTCCCAACCAATCACATCGCAGGATTTTGTGCATTCGCCCCCTCTAGCGGTTTGGGCCAAATTGCAGGTCCAAATTTGGGAATCCAAGATGGCCGCCGCTCGGCACAGTTCAGAGCCGATTCCCGAACTTTCCTTGTATTTTCCTTGGTATTTTACGCGATTCAAGCAAAGAAAACAAGTTGACCACAAGAACAAAAGAGTAATACAGCCTTGGGAACCAAATGGTCCGTTTTGTTGGGTACTAATTTCTCATTTCGAGTGAAAATTTATGTGCGGCACAGTCTGACCATGTGCCAGTGATTTTCGGCTTGATCGATCCGAAGCAAACGCAACCTGTAAAGTTCTCTTTTATGATTTCTAGATGACTATTGGTAATGAAAATATGGAGAATATTGTTGCAGAATGAGAGATACGGAAACTAAGGTAAATTTCTTTTATTTTGAGGCTGGATGTTCATTTTCCTGGCAGGATTCTTGTATCTAGTGATCATCAGTAACTACAAGTTTAAATTTTTGTTCCGGTCCAAAAAACCGGTCCACTGACGTTTCGGTTTTTCGGACCGGACCGATAAAATTTTTGCGGTCCGAACCGGTCCACCTGGACCGGTACCCACCCCTAATGAACATGTCACTGTGTAAGGTATTAGGTTCCAGGAGTTGGACATATAGTTTTTGTGCTATTATTAACTGTATCTTTCGTTGTATAAAATAATGATGATATGCGAGGAAGTTGTGCATTTATGGCTTCTAATATTCATATCCTACAATTTCATCCTTATTACCCTACTGTCAAACCTGTACAAGCAAGTACCTCCACATAAGGCCCCCCAGATACTTTTCTCATTGATAAAAAAGCATTAAGAATCCTATAGCTATCTATATATCTATTCCTATCTATAGTGACCAGATTTTTTCTCCTGAGTGGTCTTCTTGGGCAGTTTTGACTGTATACTGCAAAATATTGTGAAATACACGTGCTGTAATTCCTGAATTTTTCATGGTACTTTTATGTTTGCAGTTTTCGGTAACGGTAACTTACCGATATCACTGCAGTTAACAAATAATTCGCTGAGTTTCTCATGTCTACACCTGCTGCCACTGTGAACACCCCTTTTTTCATAAATTTTTGCTACCGTGAACATAAAGTTAATCAGTTATGTTTTCTGTTCCCTCCCAGGTGAAACCCTCCCCCATGTGGACTACTCCCCCAACAGCCTGGGCACCATGAAACAGAACGTGGAGATCGTGCTCCAGTTCATGCAGACCCACCGCATCCGCATGCACCAGACCTCCGCTAAGGACATCGTGGAGGGGAACCTGAAGGCCGTGATGAGACTCATCCTGGCGTTGGCCGCGTACTTCAAACCCAGCAGCGTGAAATCCTCGTCCTCCTCGGCGCAGCAGTACTCCCGCTCGCAGCACAGGAACACGTCGGTGGCGGCGGCTGCCGGGGCTGCGGCGGCGTTGGCAGATGCGAGAAAGGACGCGGCGAGCGCAGGCAGGCAGTACCACGGCAGGAGGGAGGGGCGTTACCATGGTGATGTGGGACATCGCAGGTCGCCTGCCTCCACTCCGGACAGACAGCCGCCCAGGTGGGTGGCTTCTGATTGGAGTAGATTCTGATGTTTTGTATGCCTGGCTTGTATAAGTTGTATTATTGTCACAATACAAAACTTAAACATGTACATACAAAGGCAACAAAAATCAGCATTGCTCATCTATACCAGTAAATATGATATGAAATATGGAGATAGGTCAGTGTGTGGAAAGCCAGAGGGGCTTGGAAGACTGTTGCAATATCAAATTTTGGATCCTGCAACACGTCTAAACCATTATAATGCCTTCAGTGGTCTTAAGAACACAGGTTTTCCAAATAAAACTTCCTAACCACAGACATCATGCATCCCCGCTCTCTTATCCAATGTTGTTTTAGCCAAGTGTTTTAGCCAATGCTTCCTGACATCAAACTTTAAACATCCTTTTCCCCCCAGGTATGAAGACTTGGTCAGATCCCCTCCTGCAAGCATGTCCCCTCAATCAAGGCCCCCTACCCAAGAGCCTGATGTGCTTCCCCGGCGGGACTCATCAGACACTGCCCAGGGACTGAGCTCCGGAGACGAGGGTAGCAGAGCCTCCTGGCAGGACTTACTGGAACAGCACCTTGACTTAGAGAGCCAGATGGAGGAGGCAAAAGACACTGTTGTCAAACTGCAGCAGTTACTTCTCCAAGGGGAGGAGGAGGGGGAGGGGGTAAGGCCCCTGTTGGAGGGGGTGAACCCCGAGGAACAGGTGGTGCTCCTACAGAGCAGACTAGATCAGAGAGAAGTGGAGTGTGATCACCTGAGAAAGGATCTCTCCCGCGCAAAACAGGAGAACATAAACTTGCACGGGACGAAAGTGGGGCTCCAGTCACGCCTCACGGAACAGGACAACTCACTTCTGGAGATGAAGAACGAGCTGTTGCGGCTGGGTTTCGTCATGGAGCAGTTCGAGGCCGACAAGGCGGAGTTGCAGCGGAAGGTCGACGAAAAGAATAAGATGTTGACAGACCTGCGGAGGCAGCTGACAGAAAAGGACAGGCAGTTGGACGAACAGCAAGCCAAACTGGAGGAGGCGGAACGTAAACTAACCCAGGCAAACTCGAGTAAAGTAAAGGATAATGTCTCCAGTCCTGTGTACAATGGTGTGCCAGCCCTACCCCCTGGGGAGGAGCTACAGGTGGTACGGGAGGCATTACGAGGTTTACGCTCGTGTTTCCAAGTCAACAACCCGCAACATCACACCATAGACACACTGGAGCAGAGCATAGCGACACTCATGGAGAGACTACGCTTCCTGGAGTCCCAGAGACTCATCGCCAGCCAGAAGGAGAGCCTGGCAAACCGGATGAAACCGGCTTCACCCAAACCGCAGGACACGGCACTGTCGCCAACGTCACGACAGCGTAGCAATGGCGTGGAGAGTAACGGTACCGCGCAGGGGACCAAGATTTTGTACTTCACAGAAAAGACAGTCACTCCCTTCATGACTTCGATAAGTAAAAAGCTAGGAGACATCACCCTCAGAGACTTCAAGGAAGTGTTTGACAGACAAGGGAGCTTCAGGTTCCACTTCAAGGCACTGGACCCTGAGTTTGGGACAGTGAAGGAAGAAGTGTGCCAGGATGAGGACATCATCCCTGGATGGGAGGGTAAAATTGTAGCCTGGATAGAGGAGGTGAGGCCATGATACAGAGGGAGTAAGTGCAGTGAATGGAGCAGCTTCTCTTCTTAACAAAGTGAAAAACATTTTTTGACAATATATAAAACATTGTTGTATTCTCAAATGGACATTGAAGACTCTAGAAGTTTGTATCCAAGAAATTGATGTCAGTTGCTATAACATTTTTCAGGTTTTTATATTTGTAAAGTTGAAGACATGTTTTTACTTTGTATATTTAGCATGATTTGTGATGTAAATATTTCTTATAATTAATGATTAGATAAAGATTATGACTAAGGAAGCTGTGTTGTTTTCAGTCTTTCACGTAATCATGTCTAGCCACGGTGCTGTCAGTAATGGCAAACAATAACTCGTTACATGGAGTTACTAGTATTAAGGATCATAATGCAATTTTTGCATCCCAAAATTATATCCCAAATTCATGACATGTGTATGTCAGCTCTGAAAGAGTAAGTTTGTATACAACAATTCAAGAGTGCCAAATTGTTCTTTTGCAATGTTTTGTTCCTTTTATTACCTCTTTGTAACAGGCTACTGACTTTGAAGTTATTATATAGCCAAGTCTCATGGATGTATTATAAGTGTTTGGCTGAATGGTAAACATGTCAACTTAAGAGAGCCCCCTATCAGTTTGTTTCAAAAATACAGTTAACGTTAGCCATGAGGTGGCAAAGACACTGACATAACAATCACGTTTGTCATAAAAATCCTGAAAACTGAACTCCAATGTATTTACATTCACTGTTTACCCCAGTGTTGTGCACCATGTGTACCCATGTATAATATGTGCAGTAGGGTAAGCAATTGTGTTCTAGGTGTTCTCTCTCATTCATTTTGAAAATGTGTATCGGCATTGTGTTAATTTTGTCCATCCCAAAGTTGTATTACTGGTAGTTATTTTGATACATTGTACAGGAGTTGTCAAATCCACATGCAGTTACCAATAACTCAAACCTGTAGAAATATGCAACAGTTTAGTTATTGAAGTCTCTACAAACCCCCAACCTGTCAAAATTACTCGCATCTACTAGTATTCTTTCAGCTGACCTGCAGGCATGTTGCTTTGCACTAATCATAGAGTTTCTCTTCTACATGTATGTATATATTGAAATACAGTGGAATACATTAGGTCTTTTACAATTACAACCCCCAGGTTTGATATGGGGAAAGGATATGTTGCTGCCAAAATACTACATGTATTTCATGATCTGTACTACCTGTTGGATTTACATTGAAAATAAGTGTATGCAGAAAAACTGGCCAATAACAATTGTTCTTTTTGTATATTTTGTGAGATCACAACTGACACAAGTCAAGATTATTTTTGTAAAGAAAAGATACTGTAGTTTCAGCTGCTTGTTAACTTTCATTACAGTTGGAATAGTTCCGTCTGACAGACTTTCTGTGTACACTGCATATGTTGTCAAAATAAACACACCGCTCTCTACCTATCTCATGAAAAAGTTTGCGCTTTGAAATCTTTTGTATAGGATGTATTCCTGTAATTTCACACACTTATCCTGTATTTAGAATATGCACCATCATTTTCACGACCACAACCGATTTTGTCCCATGAAAATGATTTTTCGTATAAGGAATTTTTCTCAAACTAAGGTATATCAAGCAAGATCGGGTGTAGTAGGAGTTAAATTAATTACAGTTGACATGACTAGGTCCTGTATCATGCGTCCCTTCTCAGAAGACGCTGAGTTTGTCCATACCGTATACCGGGAACAACGGTGCATTGTAGTCACGAACCCGACTGTTCCCCGCCAGTGCCATCGGACAGGTGAGACTACCGAAGTGTACCAAACCGCGACCCGACCTTACACGACGAATGTCGAAAGTTACCCAGCCGTGAACCCTGTGTTGAGTGTTGAGCCAAATCTTTTGAGCTGCCACATACATGAGAGGTCAGGTGGTTAGGATTGGGGTTGGTATTAGAGTTAGGGTAAGGGTTAGATTTGGGATTATTGTTCAGGGCTAGGGTTAGACTTACGACTGGGGTTAGGTTAGGTTTAGTCTCCCACATCACGACCAAACCTCTCCCTCCCCTCGTCTCAAGACTCAAGTAGTACATTTTGCCGGGTGCGGACCAACTCCCCTGGTATGTTATCTATCTATTTGGCCAATTTCTACTCTTTCCAGCCACCTCACAAATCCTGGTAGAGCCTGCTTGGAAACCCCCAAGTAGTGTCGGAGTCATGTATTTGGCTTGACACCGGGTCGACCAAGCGGGAACCCCGCCCCGTGGAGCCCCGCCCACGGTCCAGGTGTTTCCCGCATCATTACGCCCCACTTCACTCTCACAAGGTCTTTGACGTGAAAGTCTGGGCTGTTTTGTGTTTTCACTCCGTGTAACCGTGACCCTTAAACCTCCCTGTGGAAAATTGACTTTGTTATTTTCGAGATGATTTATTCCATGTGTTGGGCATATGGGTACTACATTTTGTAGTATGTATGCAATCAGTCACTGCGAGTGTCACATACGAAAATCAATAGAAATTTGAATGACATAAACAAGGCGGAGGTAAAAAATATCTCTTTAAACTGTCAGCAAACCCGTACCCATGGTCATGTATACTTGTCAGTTTAATTGTTTATTTGTATAGTTTATTTACTTTACTGGTTGTTTACACCCAGGGCGACGACCTGTCCTTGGTCCTTCATGTCGGAACAACAGATACGGTGCCCAATTAAGCGATCAAAGAAAACGTCTGACAACACACAATAAAAGCCTGGTATGCAATGCAAACAATTTCATAACAGGCTTTCCAGGATACTTCAGATATTAAAAGCGGATTTACATTGGACATATTTGCGTTTTGTCGCTGCATGAACTGACTAGAACCCGCAAGGTGTCCAAGTATTGTAGCCTTCATAGCAGGCTCTTCAGGTGGTGTTTTGATATTGCCAATGACGTGATGCTTTTTATTGCTATATAGCGTGCTCTATCCGGTCAGTGTTGTAGGAAATGAAAGGCAATGAAAGCCAAACAGCAACAACCAGGAAACACGTATTGGCATATTCTACTGCATAGACGTTTCTAGTGGCCCGTCGCTTTGTTTCTGGCAGCGATTTCTTTTCGCTGGGAGGGCCGTATCGCGACTGATACAGCTACACATGTATCCCCCGATACGTAGCCTCTACCAGGCTTCAGAAGCGGCTGGAAGGAGTAGAAATTGGTCAAATTTAGATCTACCAGCGAAAAGAAACCACCGCCCTCATAGAAACAAACGCAGGTCGTTACTTTGAAAACTCTGCGCAAGTGGCTACTAAAACTAGCCTCTACCAGGCTTCAAAGCGGCTGGATTGCGAGGCAAATGTACTCTTAGCCAATTCTTCTGGCATTTTTTCTGTCTATTTGGCCAATTTCTACCTCTTTCAGCCGCTTCTGAAGTCTGATAGAGGCTATGTAAAAACCACGTGACGCCACGGAGCCTGGTGCATAGGCTACAGCATTCCGTCGTGCCTGCAGCTGTCTCCTGTGTCCGGGCGAACATGGCACTGTGTACACACGCCGTGTCCAAACAACACGTCTCAACAACCGCACCTCTACCACCCACGTGCAGCACGGCCCGACAGGTGCTGCTCAAGAAGTTCAGAGCTGTTCACGTTTGTTTGGTTAAGTCATATGACTGAGAATGTCGTCATTCCCATTTCATTTAATTCACAAACGCTGCCAAGTTTCCTACATTCTTTCTCGATCTTTCACATTTCTAGTACTTATGATTTTACAATTTATTCATAACGCCCTCTGAACTGATTACTGACAAAATTTTCCATTAATCGATATTGTTTATACGTCCAAACATTTTCTCCGATTTCTTCTAATCTTGTACAAAGTCCGTACGTTTGTTTACAACAAAGTCTGTTGTTCAAGAGGCTATCACATTTAAGCAGGCACTCTGGGGGCAAATCTTCTGCATGTAAGCATTACGGATTCGTGCGTAATCCTCCCCTGTAAACAACCATATGGTGGCTGACTTCTGTGGTGTGTTTTGGTGCACCTGTCTGGCTACTAGGAACCAGACTTTGGACTTTAAAACTTTCCGCAGGTTGCGCCATTCACAGTGATCTTTGTCCTACTTGAAATGTTGTCTGCGTTAAGCATTGGCACACAAATCAATTAAATATGGACCTTGTAACAACACTTCAAGTTGTCACTGTGATCCTTTATATAAGCTGTCTTTGTCTGGGACAAGGAAAAATGTACTTACGCTGGTTTCATGTTTGCACAATTTATGGCTTGTAAAACTGAAGTGGGAACGTTCTGTTAGTTTTATGCTGTCCCGCGTTCCCCCATGTTCTTATGAGGAAATTCGACACTTGAAAAGACGATATTATTAATCCAACATAGATTTCCAAGTAATCCAACTCTTATGTAGACAAATGTAGGCATTGAGGCACATCAAAATCGATATTTCGATGGGAAATCGCTACAAATCTTCTTTGCCGCGATCTGAAAACAACATCCGCTCAGCAAGCGGATCCATCGGCTTTGGCAAAATATTGCTCTCAGTGTTGGGGCAATGTGTACCAGATTCAACCAGTATCGGGGGAAAAAGTATCAGTGTCTAGCATAGTACTGTCTACTGTCTATACTGACTGAACCTGGTAGACATTGCCCTAGTTGTGGTTGACCTCGCGTGATATCGTTCCGAACAGACTGATATCATCCGATATGATTTCCAAATGTAGGCTAGTACTGTTCGGTATCGCTTATTTTCAAACACATATCGGGAGGGATGGTAACATTTGGACTCCTAGCCTTCCACAGGTGGTCCTCGCAACACGAAAGAAGAGCGCGTCAGTCAAAAAACATTACGATCTTCCCTCCTGATATCTGCTTGAAGATAACGTAACTGGCCCACGGCCGGATACCCTCACACTGTATTGCCAACATTGTAGGTTTACTCTGCCTGATAAAACACACCGCACGGCAGACAAGCTGCTGACGCGACCTGACATCGGACACTTCCTCATGACAAGCTACAAAATCCACATAGATTTATCTCCAAGCAGATACGGGGAGGGGGGTCGTATCGTCTTCCGACTAGAACTAGAACTGTTCCATTCTTTCTTATGCTGACGGACTACCCAGAGCTCGAGCTCTGCTTTAATACCGCACTACAATACTGACTGCTTGGTGGGGAAAAGGGGAGAATCAACGATTACCCCTTCGCACATTTGCTCGATCGAAGACAAGCTAAGACAAGCTAACCATACGGTACATGTCTGCACCTCTGGTATTTCATTGAAAGACGTATCTAGCACTGTGTCAGTATATATAGAGCTAGTGAGATGGTCCAACAATGTTACACAGAGCATAACTGCACCCCGCCATACCCCCAGACCCCCTCCCACTTCACAAACAGGCTCGAAGATCAATACGCCCTAATGGAGAAACGCTACACACAAAGGTGGTAGGTGGGCAAATGGCCTTTAATACAGTCCGTTTGAGTAATCGTCAGTTGCCGTGAGGATTGGCACATAGTCGACAATTAGGATGAATAAATCTCCAGTCGACACCTGGCAACGGATCGCGAAGACCGTGCAAAGTACGGTCTATTTTGAAGGACAACATAAACCATGACTGAATGCATATGGCTCGTACAAAGACCGCATTACAAATAAATATCTCCATTGTTTTCCTCATTGTTTACATTTTACAGAAGTCACGTACAGTTTGGTGGCCGGTCCACACGATCTGTCCTGTAGAACACTGAGTCGGCCTGGGTGAAATGAGAGAC